TTGTCACTATGATTATCATTTTCGCTATTTCTCTTGGGTTAACATTGATATGGAGAGTGCGGGGCGATTTGGTACCACCGTTCAGGTGTGCCACGTGACTACAGATCGCATGTTCAGATTAGTTCCGCTGCGTTAGGGTCATAAGAAAGGGCAACACTTTACACCTTCATGGGAGATATTCATATGCGGAGACGACTGGTGTCAAGACAATCTATTCCGAGAGCTGAATATGATATTCATATGCGAAAATAGTCATTCGGAATTTTGAGCAGTTGATATCTAGACTGATGAAATTCGATCACGTATTATATCTTGCGTTCTTTTGTTGCAATGTATCAACTTTGCCATTCACTGGTAATGTCCGATGAAAAATGCCTTCAATAAACAATAGTAACCTTCAACGATCATGTTTCGTCGAGCCAGTTTAGCTGCCAACTCGTCACTTTCCTCTGAACCTGTCGAACGATTCGACGTCGACGAGCATGCCGGTGATAGAGGTGCTGCTGGATGATTGCTCTATAAATTACAGTTCTACATAATTTCATATTTATCAGTGTTATTATAATTTTATAATTTTTATAAATGTTCATATTATAGCTGATAGCATTCTTATCATTCCTTTTTTACAGTCAGTGAAATAATTTTTCAGTGATCCCATATAATCTCTTTGATATGGGCAATTTCCTATTGGTGTCTCTGTTAATCTAACTAAAACAGTTAATCGCATTTTCTTGTGCTTCTTGCAAATAGATAGCATTTCGTGTTTATGGATGTGTGTTTAAAGTGGCTGATGGAATAGTCGTGTGAATAATCTGATAATAAGTGTAAATGGTGATGATAGAACCGAAGATAATATGGTATAAATGAAGATATTTTTTATTTAGTTTCGTTGTATCAGTCAGCTGTGAATGAATGACATCAAATGCATCGAATCTACAATAACATCACTACAAGAAGAAATGTAAAGTACAGTGAGAGAACAATAAAAAATATTTTATCGTTAAAATGATGGTGTGAATGATGACAGTTGAAAAGCATTAACTGAATAGTTTTGTACCGTTATGAGAATCTGATTGTGAGCAAAATGCCGACAGATTTTCAGTCGTAAAAATTTGAGAGTATCTTTTTATGGTGGTCATTTTATTTGAGTGGCTGAGAAAAATTGGTTCTGATCGCAAAAACAACGAACAAATGAAGTGAACGCTGCAGATTCGCTATTTATAGAAGATAACAGAGAACCCAATGATACGATTAAAAAAAGTCATCTTGAAAGGATCACTATGATGTGAATGATGATATTTTAAAGTTCCATATTCAGAATAGTGCAATTTTCAGAGCGAAGTTCAAGTGCTTACTCAGGCTGAGATTCAAGCTAATGACCCTTCCAAACCTCAGATCTAATGCTGAAACATGAAAGCAATCTAGAAATTTTCGATCTTGAAACTTCTCAAACTGGAAGCTAGAATGTTTGATGGTGTTCGAAACATTGAATTTTGATCAACCAAACTCTGGAATGCTGGTCAATGGTATAACATTAAAGCAGAATCAAAGCAACGATCAGATAAGACGGTTGAATTCTATCTGATAATAAGAACTAAAAGCAAATAATAAGACAAACCATTACGAACTGGTTGAAGTCTTTCAAAATGGGATTATTCGGCAAAAGCAAAACCGATTGATAGTAAAGGATATCGAAGTGTCGGTATGCAATTCAATCGCCAATACAAAAGCGCCGATCATGGGAAATAGTTTAAATAGCTGGCATGATGAATGTTTGAATGTCAACTGAATCATAGGGGAGTTTTTGTGTCTGATAAACTCGTTTCATTCATCTGACATCCGATTGTCGGCGATAATATTTTGATAGTGATTCATTTCGTTTTTTGAAGGACACTACTCATTGTTGCGTTACTTGCTGTTGTTCTTAGAAGAAATACTCATTGTTTTTGATAGATTCCGCTCGATGGTAATTAATTTTGATTACCTTGTGCATCTTAATGACTCAATACGAACAGGAGTAATGATGAGTAATAATAATTCATCTGTGTAATCAATGTAACGGTTCTATGCACTCGATTTGATTTCCGAACTTTTTAGATTTTTTGATTTCGGAACTTTTTACAACGTGAAGCCAAAATGCTTGACAGTGTAAATTGCTAAATTGCTCAACAGTGTAAACAGTAAATTGCTCAACCAGACATTAAAATGCTCTGAGTGGTGTAACATTAGCATTCGTTAAATTAGAGAGGATTATATAAAGAATTAGAAATTGATATTATAGTAACGAAATGTTGTTAATTTTTAAAGTTTCTTCCGAAAGTTTTGAGTCATCTTTATAGATTACTACATGTTCACTTCTATTTGATAGCATTTCAATCGCGATAGTTTATTCTTTTATGTGCATTGATTGATTAGATGATAAAAGTGATCGATAGATCAGAAACAATCGAAAATCGACACAAACAAAATTTTTGTTTGTTAAAGGATTCGAAAAGCGTCTGTCGATTGCAAGATCAACAGTGATTTTGTATCAGTTATAAAAGCATCAACTCAATTTCGATCAGTTACAAACTTAAACGGAATATTCTTCAGTTCGATAAACATGTTATTTTAGGATTAGGATTAGTATTGGCTGGGTTAATCAGAGGGGATTATTCTCAATTATATAGGATAAACTCAGAGATTTATTCACATAAAAGAACCAGAAATTGTTGACGATGACGATAATGTTTTCCAAAAAGTTTTATCTAATATAGTTTACTCTAATACAATTCTTTATAGTTTATTGGTGAGAATCAAAAAAGTTGAATTTCTAAATCAAAAACAACGTTTCTGATGCCTTTGAATGAAAAATTCCCATGCTTAAGTGCTTGACTGACCGCTGTTAGATCATGAAAGATGAAAATTGATATGAGAACGCAAACTGACAATCACAGCAAATTCCGAATGTTCTGCAAAATATTGTTAGTATTGAAAAAAAAATTCCTTACATGCAATATTAATAATAATAGCAACAACATGAAAATTGCCTTTTCTATGTCATGATTATAGTGAACGAGGATCATTTAAAAACTGGTTCTTTTCTAAGCACAATTTTAAGAGATCATATTTGCCAACTACGATACAACTGAATACTGCTTATGCATGTAACAAACGTTGAAATTAACTAATATGTATGTTCACATGAAAGGTGAGGTATTATTTAACTTACTAATACTTTGATTACTATTACTGTATCATTATTGTTACTGTTATTGTTAGGTATAACTGATATTTGATAGTATTTTTAAAGATATTGACAATTTCTCAAAAAAGCAATTTTCCCATTGAAATCAAATTTCTTTATTATAAGACTGAATCGCCTCCTTGTAACAGTGCCTTTTAATTCATGCATTGTGCAGTATAATGAATGTAAGTAATTCTATGAGAACATGTAAGTAATTTCTCTATTGATCATTTTTACTGCATCATTGATCAATATCACAATTGATCGAAAATTCCACCAATGACCAATTCAGGTCAGATCCATAATATGAAATTGAAATTTATGAGGCTATTTTCATTCCAGGGGAGATTGATTGAAAAGGGAACTTTTCAAAAACCCTGTAGACCCCTTCCCCCCCCCCCTCCACCCTAGCTCTTTATACCCTCTTACTAACAAGCGTATAATTCCCATTTGAACTATTCATAAATGAAAGTTCCCTTCGAAGGTGATATGGATTAATCAAACAATGCAATGATTAAGAACTGAAAGCGATGATGATTTTGTGATGGCATTAAAATGTTGACTCTATCAGACTGGAAATGAAACAATGAGATTGAGTCATTGTAGACACATTTTAAATATTTCTTAAGACTGTTCTTTAGTTTTTTCGTTAAGAAATCCTGAATTTTTGTTATTGACAGAATCATTAAACTGGCATCATAATGATTTCAACCAATCTGATATCAAACACTAATTAAGGAGTGGTCTCAGGACCCAAAATATTGATCAGTGTCGTGATCAAGTTCAAATATTAGTCGTATAGCCGAGAGATATTCTCTAATCTTCAAGAAACGAATGCTCGAACAAGATGGTCAAAGTGACTAATACTCGCTCTGAGCGAAAACTTGTCAATCATTTTTGATGTTTTATCGACATAATTGCGTTTTTCTTAGGTCTACTAATAATAAATTAATCGGAATCATGATATTTCATAATTATTGTGCTCAAAATAACGATTCGCCCTAAAATCACACGTGAACTCGAACAATATCTGATTCAGCAACTATACAAGATTTAGAGAGTTTAAATAAACGATCAAAATTAAGATTTTAAACTGAAGTTTAAAATCTTCGGTCCCTCGCCCTAGAAATCATTGGGCAAAATGGGAGTAGTCCAAAACCTCTGCGCTTGCCATATCAATAATTCAAGTTCGAATTTCATGAAGAGAGATCATTCCAAACGCTATTATCGTTAGCTGCGCGGAAAGAAGAATGCCAAGGAAGGAAGAATGTGATATTAGTGATATTGGTGATAGCATAGAGGCATTAACTCGTAATGAGTTTGATTTGCTGATTAAATAAATAAAAATTGTGAAGTTGTTAGACCTTACTTGTGCCCAAGCCATAAATCTTGTTAATAATGGTAACTTTTCAACGCTGAAACGTCTTACAGGCAATATATTTTCTGTGCATCGTTAAAGTCGACGAATCTTCTTTCTTTTATTTTTAAGAATTCATTAATTTATTCCTTACGATTAGCACATATTTCAATTCGTTACAAGGAATGAGTGATAAAGTAGTTGAAATTCCATTTTAGACATTTTAAAGTCAAAATTTGATGCCACTTTATCAATACTTATGAAATTACCAACAACAGAATGAAGTCTTTTTGACTGTAGTTCGGAAAAAAACTTACGTTCATTATTTGATGATGAGTAGAGCAGGAACAGAATATGTATTAATATACCTATGAAGATATCGAATAAAGAACTTTGTACGTGTGTACGTTTGTTGGGTGAGTAGAGCTGTGCAGCTGGGTTCTGGCTGATATTCTAGAATAGGCTCGAAACTGGAACATAAAAGGGAGGCTTTATTGTGGATATACGACGAGTGCTTGGATACATCAAAGCCGATAAATCATCAAAAGATCTCCATCAACGAAATGGGAAATGGAATGCGAAAAGGACAAATGGGGAAATTAAATGAAAGATGAAATGCATAAATAAGTAGATGAAAGCCTTCTCGGTGGATAGGGAAATGAAATGAATTGATAAAATGGGAATAATTTGAAGCAGCAATAGTGCAAATACAATAGCAAANCATTTTAATCAAAATTTAAAATGCCACTTAAAAATCAAGAAAAAAATTAAAATTTGATCATTTCAAAAAAAATTTTGATATCATCACTAAAAACTTTCTGGTTGTATTATTTGTGAGCTAACGGAACGGAATGCTACTTGAGGAAGGTTTACGGAAATAATAAGTGGGGAATAAATCGGAGATGAAACAATACTGAGTGAAGCGGAGATGGGAGGCGATCGTTTGATTTTTGTGATGACAATGACGATGATGAAAATAATGTATGATAGATGATATATTATTTGCTGCAAAGAATGTCTAATGTCCCTTCTTAAGATAATAATCTCTGCGAGTTAATTAGTTTGATGATGACGATGTGTTCGTTCATGCAAACATACACAAACACATAATGAATGCCAAATACGATAAGTCGAGCAACCCAAAACGCGAGCGATCGAATGCACTTCGTAAGTAATAGCGACTAATGATCATTAAAGATTGAATTGATACATGATGTTGAGTGTGTGCATTTGATTGATGCAAATTGAAATGGAAAGTTACTGCAACTAGAGTACTTACAATGACAACTGTCATTCACATGCCATTTTTCATGTCATTTTCATACACTTTCATGCCATTTCGTTCGTTTGTACAAAAAAATTTTTCATATTCATGGAAATACTCGCTCATGTTCTTTGAAGTTGAAAGTTGCGATTTTATGTGGCTTCCGAGAGTGGAACATGGAGATTTGATTAATTATCGGATAAGCCGAAACTTACCACTGTAGACACTGAGGGTTTTTTCGGTGGAGGTGGCGGTACTTTTGTAGTGGGTGACGGACAGATTGGTATGAAGACATGATCTTCGTTTGGTATTTTCGCAATTGGCGGTGCGCTGCCTACTTTTGTGAATGCTGATCCTGAAGTGAGAAGAGCTGAATTTTTGCGGGTGAGAAAAAGAATAATGATTATGATTCGGTGGATATTCTCTATCAAATCGCTGAATCAACTTTTTTAAGCAATACAATTTGCATTGAAGACTCTAGTTCGACAGCTGCTTCCGTTTGAAATTTAATTCCTTGGGGAAGTTTTTTCACGAAAAGCAAATCTTTGCCATTCATCGAAACTTGATTCAGTTGCTTCTTTGTGGTTTTAGTCAAACAGGACAAAGGATCAATTGCAAGCTCGGTATCATTTATTTGCTATTCTCTGTAAATTGATCTATGTAAACATTTGACTTTTCGGAATTCAAGCTAACAGTAAGTAGGTAGATCGAACGCAAATGAATGGTTTCGTAAACAAATTTTTTTGCAGTTCCCTATGATTTCCTCCGCAAAACGATTGCACCTTGTCGGAATTGAACTTAATTAAACGTGATGTTTTAATGAACGCAGTAGCTCATGAACTATGGAATAAGAAGATGGATGTCCTATTGCTAGCAATTTTCCGAAATATTTGATTTCGAAAACTGAATTTTGCTATTGTTTGCTAAAGAAAAGTCAAATGATGCCTCGAAAGCAACACAACGTTTCGAAATGTTTCATTGAAACTGAAATCAATTCTATATATCCCCCCCCCTCCTGCATCCTCTGTTGAAATAACTCCTACCACCGTTCAAAATAGCAGAATTGGCTGGAGGCGAATTCGGTGGCATTCTATCTTCAGATATCGCGTTTCGTTGTCGAACATCCTCTGATACTATCGGAGTAGAAGTTTTCCTTTGGCGTTGTTTTGCTAATTTCTCCTCCAGTTCATTCTTTTCCTTCAAATTGAATTAATCAATCAATTAACTGATCAATCAATCGATCAATCAAATCAGTTGCAAGTATCCTCTCAAAACAAAAATGAAAACAAGTCAAAAAATGCACTGCACAAACCTGCACATATCGATTCGTCACCGAATTGTCTAAACTTTGTTGTTTTTGTGGTACTTTCGGTATACCTTTATGATGAACAATTGGTACAATTGGAGCCGAGCGATTCGGTGTATTTGCAGGACTGGTGGAGGAGGGATTCGGTATATCCGAGTTAAGGGGATCTCGTATCGTTGCTACCGATTGCTCTTGTGTACAGTTCACTTGTTGTTTTGAGACAAATGATGAATTTTGATCATATCTGACTGAGGATGGTTCGGATTGTTTCATTTGCAGGTTTCTTTCCCAAACGGGTTTGGATTCGATGGACGATTCTTCCACTGGTATCACTCCATTGGTATCGAGATTCTTTGTGGCGGCTGTAGGTACTGATCCAGATTGCTGTCGATTGTTCTGATGTTGTTTATCTTTACGATGCATTGCATCACTGATCAACTGATCGATATCGACGAATTGCTCATCGCTGATCTGACCAGGGGGAACGTATTCGTTTTGGTTGGGTTCCGCGGGGGGAACGGGTGGTGCTGAGGGGATTTCTGCCGGTATACTGGCATGCGGTTGTGAAGCGACATCTGAATCGGACGCAGAGTCGATTGAAGCTAGACGTCGTTGAAGTTTAGCGGCCAATTCTTTACTGGCCATTTTCGTGTAGAAGTATAGTTCTTGATGTATACTAACAAAGATAGTGAATCACTAAGCAACGAAAATAGTGAATTTCAAGTTTTACAAATGTGAATTGACGTTTGCGATTGATTGCTCAATCGGAATAAAG